ATGCGTACGCGCGAGATAGCGCTAAAACATGGACCGATAACCTTAGCGTGTCTGGCAAATGTTTGACCGCGGAACATTCGACTTATCAGCGATATTTGTGCGGTTGATCTTCGCATGTCTGTACTTACATGGCTCTCCGAACGGACGGGAAAAAACGGTAACGAGCGAACGAGTTTCTCCGTTTCTCAATACGCGATTGCGATTGTCGTTTCTATTTCTTTTTTTTTCTCCAGCTCGACCGAGTTACCAGGTTCCTCGGGAGTCTCTCGCGGTAAATCGTTCTCGGCGAACAAACGCAAAAACTGTCACTCACCTTGCTCTTTTTCCGGGGCCTTGGGCGGGACCTTTTTGTCCGGTGCCTTCGGGGAACAGTTCTTTCTCGCCGGTCGAACGGTTAACGTAGACGGGACCTAAAACGCAAACGGTCGACGCCTGTCGTTAGACGGGGACTATTCCATCGTGTGTCGTCGGTTCCGTCGACGATATCGGCCTTCGCACGGAAAGTACTCACCACCTTCTCGGACCTTTCACCGGACGGCAATCTAGCGATGGTTGCGTCGGGACTGTCTTCCGGCGGCGGTGGTTGCACTATCCAATTATACTCGCGTTTCTCGACGGGCAGGCCCCATCGTTCGTATTCGAGGCTCTGTGTGCGCAACGTTTCGTAACAGTCCAGGCATACCACCGCGAAGTCCCCGTTTTCCAATAACAAACTCTTTTCCGGCTGCCTGTGGTACTTCAGGAACGGGAAGTCTTTCACGAGCAACGCTCTGACTCGCTTTCTGTACGTCGTTATGCCGCAGACGTAACAGCAGTAATCGTGGGTATTGTACTGTCTTTCCGCGGCGTTCACTTGCTGCCCGCTGGGAAGAGATTCGTATCGACGCCACTGCGCCAAAAGGGAGTGATAGCAGAACGTGCATACCAACGCGGAGCCGTCCTCTCTGAGTTGCTCGGCGTTCGGCGGTGACTGATGCCGTAATAATTCTGGGAAAAACGGCGCGTTACGACCCTGAGGACGACCGTACAATACTCTCGCGAGAGTTAGATCGCTATGCAAGCCGCACAAGAAACAATAGATGGAACTGCTCGATGTGCCTGGATTACTACCAAAAGTTCGATCCGAGCTAGAGCTCGGCGGTGTGGCGATTGACCGATTAACATCGCCGTTTGGATGTGGACTAGGAATATCATACCTGATAAATAACCAGCGTTAATAACGGTACGTGCAGATACACGGTAAACGATACACGTGGAAACTGGTTCCAGCAAACGATCGACTAACCTGCGACGTTCTAAAGGAACACGTTCGGCATCCATGCTTTCCCACTGTTGAGCGAGATGGTTCACGCAATGACTGCAGGCCAACACTCTGCCGTGACTATCCATACAGGCGTTCTCCGAAGTGCGCGCCATTCCCCGTAAACAAGGAAAATGCATGGCGTGCGAATTCATTCCTTCCGGGCTCGTGGACAACCTGTTTGTTAGTCACGCGCAACGATTAACGACGTCTCGCACCGCGGCGATATATCTGCGTGAAATCGGCGTGTCTCGCCGGCGATACGTACCATTCCATGTGTGTGCGAGGATACAGTCTCTCGCAAATATAGCACCTATAGTTTTGGCCGAGAGCAACGGTCCCGTTCTCGGCGGGAGCGTTGTTCGGTGAATTTCGTTGACCGGCCGTGGTCCCTTTCACCACGCCGGTGCGCTGTTTGCTCGTGGCCACCGTCGACTTGTTCAAATCGTACGGCTTGAAACGAATATCGCTGCCGGCCGAGTTCGCCGGAGACTTGGCGACCGCCGGCCGCGGCGAGGGGCCTTGCTGTCGGAAATCCACGTTCTGCCCGGAGGACTGAGCCTCGTGATTCTCCCCGCCGAATACTTGCTGCTTCTGCGGTATGGCTTTATAACAAATGGAGCATACTTGCACCATTCCCTGAGGACTAATAGGACTAGCTCCTGGCGGAGGTCTCAGAGAATAAATAAAAGGATAGTACGCCTCCTTCTCTGGATTAGAACAGCAGTAAAGAAGTCTAATACTGGACGAAGGGTACTCGAGCGCGCAAGTGTAGCAGATAAACGTGGTTGTATCCATCGCAGGTGCTTGCCGTTTCCGGAGCTTGTAATCACGATCACCGTGCGGTACACCCTGCCGAGTATACGCTTTCCATTGCATCAGAAGGTAATGCTGACAGGCTGTACAGGCCTGAAAGTTTGAAAAACCGTTCGTCAGCGAGTCGCTTGTGAAACGATAGAAAGAAAATTTATGGAACGAACACGCACCTGCACACGACCTGCGCTGTCCATGGGTCGACTTCTGCTTGGCCTTGGATGAAGCATTAGAGAAGGGAAAAACGGGGGAGGACTGGCCGAAGGATGTGGCGGAGTTGGCAGTGGTTTCGCTGCAATATGACTTAGGGAGCCTCTTTTAAATTCATCCCCGCACACGTAACAAACTTCCGTGACCGAATTCTTATCTGGCATTGAAAGATCTAAGATGTCGGTTCCAACGCTCGACGAGGATCCACCGCTGTAAATGGCTATAAAATGTCCAACGAAACGATTACAAAATACACTCTGTCTCAATGATCAATCGGAGAAGACATTGATCGATATAACGGGAACCATCTATTCAACCGATGTTTCCAATTATCTCGTAAACATTTCGCGCGAAACGACACAATCGAAACAATCGTCGCGTTGCACGTGCTCCGTTTAAACACCGTGTGTGTGTGTGTGTGTGTGTGTTTGTTGTGTTTTTTTCTCTCTCTCTCTCCGCGACGACATTATCGGCACGCTTTAAATATGGAACTACAAGAATTTTATAGTTCGCAATTGTCGCACTTCAGTCCGATTTCGCGTGACCTACTTATCTACGAGGCTAGCCAACTAATGACTATCAGATCAGCTGAGTTAGATCTCGAAAGGTCGGAACAAGTTGCGCGCATACTGAAGCTTGAAATCAGAATTTAAATTAGATATACTTGCGGCGCTTTATCTGCGGGACTGTTGACCTTTATTTACAAACGTTTACTCTACTGAATGGAACGACTGTGTTTAACAGGAATAATCTGTATATTTATTCGCTCGGTGTCGAGTATCATGCAACGCGATAATTGTTTAAAACACGCTCCTCTTTAGAACGCGAATTCGTTTCGACTCGAATTGAATTCTCGCTTGATATACATATATATATATATATGTGTGAATGTGTGTATATGTATATATATGTATATATGTATATATATATATATATATATATATATATATATTCGTTCGGAACGAGGAAACTTTGGACGAGTGGTGCAAATCGAGGAATGTAAACGTACGCTGTGGTTGTGGCGGTAAAGCTGGTTGTGGCGCAGGTGAACTCCTTGGTGCGTGTCTTAAGTCCAATGCCGCTTCGCTGGATATTCTTGCGTCTTCCACAGGCTGCCGAGGACTTTGTAACCTTTGATGAGGCGATTGCAGTCTTTGATGGGGAGATTCCATTGTGAGCCTTGCTTGTTCTAAGTGCCTGTGCGTTTCTGCCGTGTTAGAATGCGGTCTTGGCAATTCAATCGAATTCGACGGCGGCCTCGTTTGCTCTACTCTAGGCGATGGTGAATTCGGCGGTAGCCGCGGGGAGATTCCTACCGGTCGATTCTCCGGTCTAAGCTGCGGCGCTTGTTCGTTGGTTAAACCAAGTACCTGGGCAGCGTACTCTCCCTGCAGAGCCATCTCGGCTCCGGTGAAGGGCCCGCCGTCGCATCTCTTTAGCCAATAAATTCGTTGGCTATGAGGTCTGGCATCTTGCTCGAAACTTTCCCATTGCTGTAAAAGTAAGGCGTAGCAAAGGCTGCACGCCCTGACGGCTCCGCTACGGGCCCCCTCACCACGGTAGCCAGCTGGTGGTTCGTGGGACTCGAGAAACGGAAAATAAGGTTCGTTCGGTGCTCCGGCCGGATTTGGCTTTACTCTGAGCCAGTACTGCTCACCGTGGCCCACTGTACCACAAACAAAACAAACCCTGGCACCTCCGTTATCTTCAGAGGGCGGATTCGCTTGTGGATTCGCAAGAGACTGTCCGTCAAGACCTGGCTCATTCTTTACGTACAATTTATTTTCCATCATGTCAGGAAAACATCGGGTCTCTTCAATGACCTTCTATATATTCTTGTTTGGCACGCATATACGATCACAAGTTAGTATGATTGACAATGTTTTGGAATTTTGCGCATATCTGAAAATGAAAGAAAAATGGTATTAGTCGGTTGCTCGATCCGACGGATCTTAACAGTAAAGATATATATATATATATATATATACGTAAAAAGTTGACAAGAAGATACATGCATTACCGGTGATAAAGAATGTAACGCGCAAATGGACACAAAGTATATTATTTCAGAGGTATAGGGAACCTCATTGTATGCAAATGAGTTTATTCGAGTGCAGCTGCGACCTTATTCTTTATTCAACGCGGAACACATAAAACACAATTGTTTAATATGCAGAAACAAATTTGTCCTTTAATTGTGTAACACTCGTCCGAGGCTTGACAGGGCAAGAACCTTTTTACACGAATGTGGTTCGCTCTTCCTCTTTGGTTATACCGAATTCTGAATAAAATCACATCAACGTTGATACAGCCTTGCGCGTCCAATGCTATTCTACGGACAGTCGACGGTGCTGGTAAACAGAAGTACTTGGTTATGAAATATACTGGAGGTGAAGTTTCGCAAAGTGTGGTGTTCGTTGGAATTCCAGCAACATAGTGGAACAGAATGATTAAAATGTCGGTACCGTTTCCCAAAACACTGATCGCGAACAATAAACACAAGGCATTGCGCTATTCGTCGTAAACTCTTATCGTTATTGAAGCATTGCAACGTGCGATGCTTTTAGAATACCGTAACATGTGGTATTTTTGGCGCATTGCTACATCGACGTTTACCGACACCGACCATAAAACACTTCTTCGGGCGTCGGTAATAGAAGAAAAAACCGCGTAAAGCACTTCTCGTTCTGCTGGCGTTTACAATAATTTCGTAGATAATACGAATTCAGCAGAACCAAAGAGGAAACACGAACGATCGACGAGCGTAAGCGTTTTCGCGTAAAATCCTCGGAAATCCATATTCCCCGGATAAAAGAAACATCGCTAACAACAGGAAGAAGGACGGCAGATGTCCGGACGAGCAAAAGGGAATGATTTCTCCGGTAAAATCAAGGAAACGTGACTCCGTGAGAATATTTGATGCAATGGTGGCACGTTCGTCGGAGCCGAACTTCTATGTCGAAACGTTGAACGATTCGGAGCAGCTTTATCGCGATGATCGTGAATCGAAATCGTTCGGAACGTGCCGGGGAGTATTTCGACGATAAAATCATCGGAAGAATTCTAGGAGAGGGATCAGAGATCACAAGGGGAAGGCAGCAGCCGTAGACCGTAGGCTAGCTACCGAAATACGCAGGCCACGGCACATTCGCACGCACAGTTTACGTTCTGCACGGGGGAACACTCACGTTTTCACAGTTCGGTGAGATTGACCACCGCATCGCTATTCCGCGGCGGTGATTTTAGTCGGCGATACGTATTACTCAGGCGAAGCGATGCTTCCTTATCTCGGATTCTAGTCTCTGCCATACGTGCTCGAGTACCACACCGAGTTGCGGGGTGTCACCTTCGGAATAACGTTGCGTCTCGTTCCACTCATATTTACATTCCTCGTGCACCGTGTTACGCGTCCCGTATCCGTACCGCACTGTCGCATCCACGAGAACTATAATAAAATAGGTCGCGCGACTACGAAAAATACATTTTCTGATGGCACAGCACCGCGACTTTGGCTCAATTCACCGCCATGTTGCAAAATTGCGATCCGCTTCCCATGATGCCACGCAGCTTCGTCATATGACAGTGCCGCTCCGTCGACCAATCGCCTTCCTCGACGCATGCGCGTGCCGCACCGTTTCCAACTGAACTGCCGCTAACAATATTTCCGCGCGATCTTTGAAATTTTTTCCGTTTCAGCCAGTACATCAATTTTATAATTCTCTTACGTAACCCTCGGTGTCCGTTGAACTTTAAGTAAAGATCGCCTCTCGTATAAGGAGACTCGGAAAAACCAAGTCGATCGATATCAACGATCGATTATTTCCTTCCCGTTTTCGTATACCGACAGTCGAGACTTTTCCAGCGAATTTCAATGCAATGTTAGAAAAACAACGCGCGACGATATTTGAATTTCGTGGGATCTGCACGGCACGTGATCTCCACCGTTTTCGAACGTTTCGCAGAGAGAATTTTTGCACCGTGCGACTCGCAACGAGAATCTTTCCTCTATCGGCGGTACGAGAATTTTACACCGATCGGAATAATTAGTATACATAATTACGAGATAAGCTTACGAATGACATTGACCTTACCGCTCGACGTTTTACGCAAACGCAACGGTAACGATATAATTTCTGGTCATTAGCGTTCTTCTTTTCTTTTTCCTAAGTCGAGGAGTGGCAGGTGTAGACGGGGAAGGGGGAAGAAATGCTGAACAACATTCGATATTTCACCGTATTTAATCAACAGGTCGGGACATTGCACTTCGTTAATGCTAAAATTTATTTCTCGTAGACTGTGTGTCGTTCTCATATGTATACACCACCGTTCCAAGTGGAATCCTTGCTCGTAATACTAGAAAATCATTGGAAATACTTTAAAAATACTCTTTGCAAATGATAATCCTTAGAAATTCATTCTCTCTCTGATATCGTTTTCCTCTCTACCCATACACATCTATCGGCTACAAACGGTCTCGAACGATCCGACGTGTCGTTCGTTCGCGCACGGCTTTATACAGATACGATTAATCACAAAAACGTTGCTTTCCTTCCGACGTTTTATTATTTCAACAATGGCGGCGTTCTCCTCGTCGACCTTTACATCGAATGAACGTACGGCGATCGTGGAGATCCTCTTTCACCACCGGCACCGCTGCAACTTGAAGAACAACAGTTGCTTCCGGTACGTTCGATCGTGACACGAAGAGAAAATATCGAACAGAAACGAACTTTATTCCGCGAGGTTCGTCAAGTATCAAATGGGAAATAATGACGACGTCGAGTCCGCTGATTCAGATTTTTCGCATTCGTCTGTAAGTTTAAACCTAAAGAATCGTTCGTAGAAGCAGCGTAATCGCGGTTTTCGTAAACACGATATAAAAATACTAAAGGAAACTAAAGGATACAGTTCGACAGATACAAAGCGTGAAACGCGTCGAAAAAAGAGGGATTACGCTTCCGCTGACTTATCAAGATTATGCTCGGTATACATCGTTGAACGTAGTAACGTGTAAAAACTCTATCTTTTATTCTCACTCAGTTTTCTCATCCTCTCTCTTACACACACACACACACACATACACACACGTATACAGACACACACATACTCTCACTCTGTTACTCTCTGTCTTATAAATAATTATAAACTAGATCTGCTTTGCATTGATGAATGACTACAACGATTTCCTTCTCTCTCTCGTTCTCTCTTCCGACACTCGTGTAAGATCCATAAAGTTCTAATTATAGGCGTCTCAACTAGTTTTCATTCCGGAGCGTGGTGTTCGACGATTAAAACTGTTGACGATCGAGAACAAGAAGAAAAGATAATATATCACGCAAAAAAAAGAGAAGAAAAAAAATAGAGAGAAAAAAGTAACGTATAACGCGCAAACCTTCGCGAGCTTCCTCGAACGATCGGCCACGAGGCTTGCATTCTCTTTACTTTTGATTCTCAAACAGCCTTCTTTAGTGCTCCTTTGGAAACGAAGTATCTGTGACTCGTAACCCGATAAATAATCCTTCGTGTGCGTGCGCGCGTGTGTCGTGTATTTGCGTGTTTTACTCTGTATACGTATACATATATAAATATATTAATAATCACATTAATATATTTGTTAATTAATAATACAACAATAATACAATAATATATTACGTATTCATAATTAATTAATAATTAGATTAATATATTAATTATACTTATATATGTATACATATCTGTATATCTGTATCTGTACGTGTCACGTTCCGCGTGTTTGCACTGCGAGCGCTTCGATCCGACGCGCACTCCTCGCCCGTTTGTTTTCCTTTTTATTATGACTTATTTAAAAGATGGCATACGCGCTGAGTTCGTTAAATCGGATTTGACATTTGGTGAACGCATGACTTTTACTCTGTCGACCCTAACCGGTCGGGTTATCTCGCTTTTATGTACATATAAACAGATATTACTGTAACAAGGTTTCCTACTCGTACAGGACGTTCCAAGAGGCCGGGGCCGCGCGTTAATCAACAGCCGGCGACGAGCTCTTCATTATCGGGCAACTGTCTGCACAACCCGAAACGCGAACACGGAGTCGCAAATGAAACGCGTCGTCTTCGTCCTCGTCTTCGTCGTCCTCGTCGTCGGAGATATCCGCGTTCGCTCGAAATGAAACGTCCGTTACGAGGGGAGAGCCGTCGTAGCGGTCGTTTTGCGAGCGCTATCGTATATGCGTATGCGTAATGAATAACGGGTAATATATTAAAAAATATGACGGGTCACCGGCTCCGATAAAACCGGTCACCCCGGGTGACCCGGGCCCGTATCTAAATGAAAGTTGATACAATACGAAAACAAAAAGCGTACAATCTATCTAATTGTAAGAGGAACAAAAGTAACGAGAGTGTATTATAAACAACAATTAAATAATAAATGAACTTATTGGTCCGATTGTCGATAAAAAAGTAATCAATCTACTCGCGGGGCGCGTCCCCAATTTCCTCGCGCCGATACCGGTCTCACCTGTCTCGAAAACAACGGCAGCACGACGGCTGCTAATAGCACTTCTCTCACGCTCGATCGCAAAGCGGTCGCACACCTGCCGATCCGTACAATCATTCAACCTCTCCTAAATCCATCGTTAAACCTTACGAACTTCTCATCCGTCCATCACAGTGCCAACGAGTCTCGTCCAACTTCCAGCGTCCGAGTAACGAGGTATCCGAGGACGCGCGGAGAACCGTCGCGATCGGCGAGAAACGTCCGCGACGTTTCCTGCTTCCGACGTTCCGCGTTCGAAACGAATAGCGCGAGTTAGCGAGCCGAGTGAGAATCGCCCGTCGAAACGCAAAAAAGAAGAGTAATTGCCGCGGCGCGCGTCCATCGTTGCTCGGCGGAGCGGCCAGCGCGGGATCGTCAATACCTTCTTCCCATTCGACAGGCGAACATTCCGAAGAACCTTTGAAACACGTCGAGCCTCGTCGCGCGGCGCTCTCAAATGGGATTGCCGTTCACCGAGGACTCGGTACTCAGGCTCCTCCTCCGGATCTCCTCCGCGGAGGTCTGCCCGTAAACAGGCTCGATGGTGTCCGAGACGGATTTCGGATTATGCTTGTCGACGTGCGTCAGCTCGATCGGTAGATAGATCGTCCGACAATGGTCTATGTCCGCCCTGCAGAGCGGACAACGCTCGCAACGGCGGGCGCAATCCAAACAGGCGACCGCGTGTCCGCAGGGGAACAAGGCGGTGTCCAAACTGCGATCCATGCAAATGCGACAGAGCATCGCGTCCAATAATCTCGCGAGGCATTCCCGGGATTCCTGCAAGTTAAACAATCCGACGCAGTTGGTCTCGGCCTCGTTCCGCCCGAACCGGCTCGTTTCCGGAAATACCTTGCACTTGGGATCCTCGCAGTCCCCGGCGCACTCGTGCCTCTCCAAGATCTGCTTCTCCTTCTCCTCCGGCAGCCTGACCGTCGCCGACTCGCAGTACAGGGCTCTCCTCGCGTTGTCGTACACCTCGCGGCACGTCCGCCGGATGTCGAACACGTACTTCTTACCCAGCGTCGAGTCCTCGTTGAAGATCGAGATGATGGTGCCCTGCCGAACAGAAGCCAGACGCGACTCTCGATCACGCTCCTTACGCGTCCCGGGCCTGAATCGATCAGAATACCTTCAGGTCTCGTATGAACTGCGCGGTGACCGCGCTCCTGACCGTCTCGCAGCTGTAGAACGCGTGCTTCTCGGTGATCGCTCGGTACAGTCCGCTGGCGGACTGGCTCGAGTCCAGCTTGAAGTTCAGCGACGTCTCCTCGCCGTCCAGGGAGAGGTACACCAGGTGGAACATCCGCCGCTGGGACGTCGCGCTCTGTATCGCCGTGTACGGTATGCTGAAAGGAAGAGGCGATCGTAACGTCGCGCGACGAGCGGTCGAGTCGTAGAGACGAGCGGCTTATGAGCATTGTACCTACTTACTTTTGCGTTTCTTCGTCGTCGCTGCGGTAGACCGTGATCCCGTGAGGTCCCACGCCGATCATCGACACGCCGTTGTAACCGAATTTACTGTGGAACATCTCCTGACCGAAGGTGTCCAGGTTCGAGATTTCCTTGAGCAGCCAATACTCGGCGGTCGACGTTTTCATGCCCTGCGGAGAGAATGTGCGAATGAGATCGAGCAAGTCGACGCGCGTGGTATGACGAATAAAAGGATCGAACCTTGATTTCCTTGTGCTGCTGGACTATCCGGTGCAGGAAGTCCTGGGGTTTCGGCTCGCACGGCTCCGTCGGCTGTATCTGACAGCATTGGGAGTAGAGTGCGTGCGGCGGCGATAAGGCGTCGTAATCGCCGGAGTCGGCCTGCGCTATCAGGGCGACCAACCGCGCCACGGAACCCCAGTCCGAGACCTTCAATCTGCCCTCGACCAGCTCCAAACGAGAGTGCAAGTAGAACTGATGCCTGCGAGCCAACAAACAGAGGCGACGTTAGAGGAGGATGCGTGGAGAACGCGAATCATCGTTGATTCGTTAGGGCTTATGCTGTAATACTGGCGATTTTACGCATATGTACCATATACACAGAGTAAATCCCCTCGTACACGATATACATGATTAAAGAAAAAAGAAATATATATTCGTCACGCCGCGCGACGCTGCGAGCAACGTACAGCGCTGTACAGCGCAGACCGCGAGGAGGTGGAGCCGCCATTGTTACGCTCGACCATAAGTGGGCTGGCTCCGGCGAGCACGTTCGCCGTCGAACCTTAGCCACGGTGACAAGGATGATATTAAGCCCTTGATTTATTTCTCAACGATAATCGATCCTACTTTCACATGAATAATTTATCGACGAGAGAAAAATTCTATGGGTATTCTACGTTTGCTGTACAAAATAGTATTCGACGATGGAAGAATAATGTTTCATTTGAATTAAAAGGAATCGAGTCGTATTTATGTCTGTTCTATTTGAAATCTTCATTAATAAATTGAAATCTCTCGCGTTATCGCAAGGGTTAAGTCACAGCACGGAATTCTCTAGGAATCTACCGTGTTATGGGAGAGTTACCTGTGTTTTCTTTTTTAATTACGTACATTGTGCAAGATTCACTCCGCACGTGTGGTACACGTACGTGAAATCGCCAGCGAATCGCGTCGCTCGCATGCAAAGGCCTTCACGCGTTCGCGGATCCGGACGCGTCCGAGCGCGGAAAACGCGCGTACCGCGGCGATGCTTATCGCGAGATTGAAATGCAAAGCATGAGAAAATCGTTGATGGAGGACGCGTCGGCCGGATACGCACTCGAACCGGCCGGTGTCTGCCATATTTTTTCTACGGGCGATTTCCCCGGGGCAGCGGGATTTCATGGAATTTTACACGCGCCGCTCGTTCCTACGAAATATTGAATAATTGAAGTATCCCCGGCAACCTCGGCCGGACGGTGGTCTTTTTAAAAAAAATGATATACGCGACTACGGCGCAACGGCAGAGAAAAAATTTATTGT